TTTTATTTTTAAATTATCAAAATAAAATAAATATTACTAAAACTAAATAAAAGTTAAAAAAATAATAGATTCATAAAGAATAAGTAATTAAAGAAAAGAGAATTTTAAAAGAATTGTAAAAATAAAATCGCAAAATACTGAGAATTGAAAAATTGTGAAATACTTGTGAAACTCTAAAGGAATTACAAATTGTTTGCGAAATTCCAAGAAAATAGCAAAGTAATTGCAAAACTCTTAAAAGAATCGCAAATTACTTGCGAAACTCCAAAGAAAATTGCAAAATAATTACTTGCAAAACTTCAAAGGAAATCGCAAAGTAATTGCAAAACTCTTAAGAGAATCGCAAATTACTTGCAAAACTCTAAGAGAAATCGCAAAGTAATTGCAAAACTCTAAGAGAATCACAAATTACTTGCAAAACTCTAAAGGAAATTGCAAAGTAATTGCAAAACTCTAAGAGAATCACAAATTACTTGCAAAACTCTAAAGGAAATCGCAAAGTAATTGCAAAACTCAAAGAGAATCACAAATTACTTGCAAAACTTCAAGGAGAATCGTAAAGTAATTGCAAAAATCTTAAGAGAATTGCAAATTGTTTGCAAAACTTCAAGGAAATAGCAAAATAATTGCAAAACACTTAAGAGAATCGCAAATTACTTGTAAAACTCTAAGAGAATTATAAAGTAATTGCAAAACTCTTAAGAGAATCACAAATTACTTGTGAAACTCTAAGAGAATCGCAAAGTAATTGCAAAACGCTAAAAGAATTGCAAATTACTTGCAAAACTCTAAGAAAAATTGCAAAGTAATTGCGAAACTCTAAGAGAATCACAAATTACTTGTGAAACTCTAAGAAAAATCACAAAGTAATTACTTGCAAAACTCCAAGAGGAATCGCAAAGTAATTGTGAAATTCTAAGAGAATCACAAATTACTTGCGAAACTCTAAGGAAATTGCAAAGTAATTGTAAAACTCTAAAAGAATTGCAAATTACTTGCGTAACTTTAAGGGAATCATGAAATAATTGCAAAACTCTTTAGAGAATCACACATTAGGTTCTCTTCAAGATTTGAATATATCAAACTAATCTTTCAGATTAATCTGAAATTTTTAGTTCAGTTCAGATTTATACCAGTTACAATTCAGTTCGATTTCAGATTGGCATTTTTAAGATTTATAATCTGAACTGAACTGAATTGGAATTTTCAGTTCGTTTTCAAATTGGCCTATAATCTGGACTAAACTGAACCTTTCAGAGCATCAACTGGGATGGATTTGTATTGATTTCTTTAATAACCATTACTCATTCAAGGCTTCATTGATGAATTGGCCTTCAATAACATATACTGAAATGTATGTCCTTTTCACTGCTCTGTTAGTATCACCACATTCTTCTTCTATCAATATTTTTTCAGATAATCAGGCTACAATCAACAGATTTTTTAAATACGTTTTAAATAATGATCTCTCAGCTAGAAAATTTGAAAAGATACCCAATTACTTTATTTAGCACCTTATTAAACATACAGTGAATACACTAAACCTTAATATATACTTTCACAAAGTCAAAACACATACTGGTAATTACTTTAATAATATCGCTGACTAATTAGCCAAAGCTGAATGTAATGCTCATCTTCTTATTCCAGTATTGAATAACATTCCTTTATCTGACCTTGTCTTTACTTTCAATAATGTATCAATTGAAATATCTATTTAGAGTTTCTTCAAACAACTTTTTTCTGCCAAAACTTTCTACAACTTCCTTGACCTGAACAGAAATGGTCACATCAGATGTCTCACTAGAAACTACTCCATCAACTGGCCTGCCATTTGGTCCTTATTCTCCTTAAACTCATCTTTACTTACCACCTCATTTGCCTCTTACAAACTCAAAACCTTCATCTTAAAAAATTTTATTAATGAACTACCAACCCTATCAAGATTATCTATATTACAGCCTGATTTGTATGAATATTGGTATTGTGTAAGTTGTGGTCAGGATACAAAAACTTCTGCTTATCTCTGGACCTGCACTGCCTATACTATAAGACTATGAGATGTTATTCAAATCACTAAAGATAATTTAATCTATCGTCTCACAGAATTGAATGTCTCTAAACTTACTGAGTTTCTTACAGAATTACTAGATATTCTAAATAACATCCTTGTCACCCTCTCATTTAGATTAGATAGTTACATCAATATCATTCATTCTCTCATTCCTTTTTCTTTAATAGATATAGTTTACAAAATCACCAGGAATAGGGTCAATGTTACTTGATCATCACTCAAACCTTAACAGTTTTTTACCAAAAACTATTCAAAAAAGTTTAGAAATATCGCTGCAATCTAATGAATGCAAAAAAATGTTTATTAGGTATCACAATCAAAGATAAGACTAGACGAGATACTAGTTCATTTTTGAGACATAAAGAGACATTTTTTCCCATATATAATTGGGAAAATTGGATATATCTGACGAATAAATTCAGCTACACCTTTACGAATTTTTAGATAGGCACTGACTCTTTCTTTTTCTTCTCTTGCTGATAGCAATCTTCATTAGATATAAACTTAGTGAATTTGTTAGAGAGGAAGACAATGATCGCTCAATTCAAATAGGTTTATAATATAACTACAGGGATAACTAGTACTTAGTCTAGATTTATTTAATTTACTTTGTATTTCTTTTGTATAAATTTAATAAAATTACTGGCAGTACCATATCGTTAAAAAAAATATTTAAATCATATTTCTAAGTTTTTAAGTAGTATATGGTAAAATTAAAGGTTAAGTTTTTTAATTGAAATAAATTAAATATTTTGACTAATTTTATGAACGTTTATATATTTCATCAGTTGGCAATACTAAAGTGGATTTTTGAAAAATTATTATTCTGGCTTGATTTTTTAACTATATTTATATTAATTTTTTTCCCATACTTTGAATTTGGTTAGATATTTTTTGACTATAAGTGACATTTTGGCATTATTACTTATATTAATAATTTGTTATCCTTAAATATAATATTACATAGAATTCTAAGTTTTCTTATTCATTGTATATTTGGCATTGTAATATGTAAAAAAAAGTGAAACTTTTTGATAGTTTCAGAATATAATTATGTTATTAGTACGCTAATATTTATAAAAATTTTTATGAAAGAAATTGAAGTTAATAAAATTACTGAAAATAATCATCTGTTAAATTTTTGCTAAGAAAATGACTTATCAACTTTGTTATAGAAAGACGTAGTTTAGTATTATTTATGAATTTATATAACCTTTATAGATGAGGGACGAAACCCCTTAATAACAGTTGAAACTTAGACGAAACTATATTTAAATCATAATAAGGGATACGATGAAATCCATTTGATACGACGAAAGCTGAAACTGTCGAAACTATATTAAAAACATAGAAAAGGGTATGACGAAATTATTTTGAGGAGGTTTCGGCAGGCATCTATAATAACCTTAAATCGAAAAGAGTTTTCTTTGCGAGTTTTTTAGATAGAGTTCTGAACAAGTCTTGAAACTAGACTTATAACTCTACATTTTAATAAAGATACTATAAACCTTCTTCTTGTTTTCATATAGGCTTTGAATGTGAAAACTAACTGCACAAGTGGATTATAATAAATCATTTGCAATTTCTTAAGAAAGACCTTTTATTTAGTTTGTAGGGTATACTGGATTATCTCAATTCTTTATAAAATTTTCTTATACTGTTAGATTACTTTAAATTTTATTTAGCATTCTAAAGTTCTATAATTTTATTAAAATTTGAAAGAAATCCTTAAATTTAATAAATTAGTATTCTAGTTAATATATTTTTGTAAAGAACATCCTAAATCTGTTAACATTATATTATCAAATAAAACTAATGGATCTTTTGAGTTATGTATTAATATAAAAGTCTAACAATCAGTATTAGAATATTAGAACTTACTTTTAGAGAAAACTTACTAATAGAAAAAAATGGAACATATTTATTTTTTAATCTGTAATTATGCAATTACTTTTTTATTTGTTAAAGATTATTATTTTGATATGGACTGCCTTGAATAGCAAAATTATGAAAAATAAAGAAATCTGTTAAAATTTGTATATTTTTAATATATATTCATTTTTATATTGCTTAGAAATTTACTAAGTAAATTGCTTTTGTTATTTATCATTTCGCTATTATACAAAATCAAAATGCAAGATTCTAATAATTCAAATGATTTGATTAATAGGATTGAAGAATTTATCTTAAAAAAACTTTGTAAATTCATACTTTTTAGCAATATTAAAATAGTCAACTTTAGAAAAGTCATTTCGTGCAAATTCAAAAAGTTTAAAGCAATGTCTACATTTTTTTAATATTACTACTTGTTAAAGAGATTGTTCGTGAAATTTCCATTTATTTAATATTAAATCATTTATAAATCATAAGCTAAAATCTCTAATGATAATTATTTAACTTAATATAAACTGGAAGTTGATTTTTCATAGTAATATTATTAAAAATTTGTAGAATACAACTTTAAACAAGGTAATAATCTTCATATTGAAATTTTATTATAGATAAATTTACTTCTATACATTTATTTATATACAGTATTTTTAAAAATATATTAAAAAACCAAGAAATTCATTGAAAGATATTGGTTAGTAATAGAATATGCTAATATCAGTGCACTTTAAAATATTTGAAGTATAATTATAATAAGCTTACTTAAGAAGATAAATATAACTTAACATAAAAAATGAATTGTGCATCGTAATTTTGTAGTTTTACATAACATTATATTTATTCTTAAATTATTGTTTAAATAATTAATTATAAGTTTCTTCTATAATAAAATTCTAATAATGTATTAGTTCATCAAAGTATGGATAAACTAGAACAATAAATAATAATAATGAAATACTTTATATTTAATAATAAAAGTGTGTATACAGCGCTGACGTACTTTTATGAGATATTAAGTGATCATCTTTCTTTTATAAATAAAATAACATACGTTTAGTTGTAGACATTAAAAAGGTCTTAGACAAAAATCATTTCACATACAATTGAGATACAAATTTGATTATAAATTACAATATAAATATTTTGAATATGGATTTATTAAAAAAGTATCGCCTGTATTAGAAATCAAAAATCTTTTTTTTATTATTTTTTACTCACTTCCATTTTGTCATATGAATTTTATATTATGTTGTAATAATTTCTTTTGTGAGTTTCAATAAAATTATCTTTTTTATTTTTTTAGGTCTAAAGATTATATTAGCTAAATAAGATTATTAAATTAGTTTAGAAAATTAAAAAAAATATTATTATTATATTAGAAGATTGACTAGATGAATCATCATCATCATCATTACATATTTTATAAATCGACCTTTTTGGCTCATTTTTATTTTATAATTGAAAAATTAAGAGGAAAATAAAAGTTTGAAATGGAATTATTTTTGAGAATGATTTTAGTTAAATTTTATATTATTTTAAAAAAATGTAGTAGTTTCACAAATAATTATAATTATTATACTAAACTATTGTTTTTCTTTTTTAGTAAGTGTAAACAATTAAACAAATTTTCTTTTTAAAATAATTATAATATTTATAACTATTTTTGTTAAGTTGTTTTGATTTAATGCATCAATAAATTATTTTTGAATCTTGTATTGATTTAATGCATGATGAAAGTATTATTTCTGATTTATTTAAGTGCATTTTGATTTAATACATTAATAAATTATTTCTGATTTTATATTGATTTAATATATGATGAAAGTATTATTTTTGATTTAGTTTAAGTGTATTTTGATTTAATATATTAATAATTATTTTCGATTTACTTCAAGTTTTTTTAATATATAATTAAATATTATATTATATTGATAATTGTTTCTGATTTACTTTAAGTCTTAATGCATAATAAAAGAATTGTCTTTAAGTTTGTTTTAATTTAATGTATTAATAAATTTTTTCTGATTTATTTTAAGTCTCATTTAATGTATAATTAAAGTATTAATTGCATTAATGAATTATTTCTGATTTACTTTAAGTATTATATTGATTTGATGTATTATTTGATATAACTATTTGAGTTTATTTCTGATATATATATGAAAATTTATATAAATAAGCTTGATTTTTCCACTTCTTAAAAAAATAATTTCAACTCAAACTTTATCTTTTTAAATCAAATATTATCTTTACAATTAATTTTCTTCTTTAATTTCTTATTTTTACAATTTTTCTTTTCACAAAATGCCACTAAAATGCTAAACAAAAAAATCGTCATAAGAACAAAAAGAATGTAAGTTAAATTTTATTAATCAACCAGCTAATTTTTCAAACGATAACCAATTTTTTTGCTTTTTTATAATAGAAAAAAGACAAAAATGCATCTATATAATATTATCTGATAATAAACTGATTGTTTTAAATTATAAGTTAGTCATAATATAATACTATTTTTATATTAATACTAAATAACTTTCAAATTATATA